GAAGCTATGAATTTGTATGCAATTTCCAGTGACGCTTCCTTTCCGGGCGCATAATACTCGTATACACTTTAGAAACAAAGGAACTGGAGAATGTTTGACTTTTTTTGAAAGGATATCTTTAGATGGAGATATACGCGCCCAAGAAGAACAAAAAGGATACATGTTTTTTCGAGTTATGCTAATTCTATTTGTATTGTTGTTAATTAGCAAAACTATTTTAAGTAAACTTTTATTCTAAATCAAATTTAAAAATAAAATATTAAAAAAATTAAAAAATTGCTTATGAAAATTGAAGAAACCTACAATTTATTGTTTTATGACCAAATATCAATTATATATTTTTTATAATTTATTTAGGTTATTTAATATTTAACATTGTCCAAAAAGCCTGAGACATTTTTATCGATATTTTTATCACAATAAGTGGCCTACATACCTTGGAACATTGTAACGTAAACGTTTGTAAAGTATTGGGTTTAAACCAAATATTGGTAAAGATAGAATATCTGATTTATTTATAATATATAATCATACGACAATTTTAATTAAACTAACCCAAAGTCATTGCTTCTGTAGTATTATTTTATATCCATTTAATGTGAAAAGCACTTATTTTTTTTTATTAATACAACTAACAAGCATTTTTGGTTTGAAAAATTGTAAATATTTACGTTAAGGTAAAGGTATTTCATAAAGGTAAGGTATTTTACTACTTAGTGAGGTCAAAGGGAATTATACGTTTTAATCTCTGTGCTGAGTCATTTGTGCTGACTAAATATAAAGATCCTGCATTTTTTTATATTTTGTGTAATTTTCGTTGCGTGAGAAACAGCATACGTTTTTATACTGACCTAAACGGGTTTTATTACCGGATCAAGATGTAGGTCTGCACTAAGAATATATCAGGATAATATTTCTTAGTACTTTTGTGCAGGGTTTGAATTGCTGTTGCTAATTGCATTGCTTGCATAATTGCTAACGCATTGCATATGAAAATGAAATAAAAATATGCATTAGCAACAGCAAAAAACGTAAACTGGTTTCATTTTGATTGCTTGCTAATAGTCAATTTTACATTTTTGACTATTATGCATTTGGAATATATGCAACTTGCTTGCTTATGCGTTAGCTGCTTGTGTTTTGCTATTAGCAAATGTATATGGATTTCTTCTTTTTGTTTTTGTTTTAAGGGAATGTGTACGCATTATTTCTTTGTTGGTGCATTGAATATAGTTGTGCAAAATTGTAAGTAATGTGTGTGCGTACAATTTGTATGCAATTAATATTATTTTATCTGTAAATAGATTATGCCTAAATTTATGTTTTTTTTAATTATTAAATTTATGATATATATGATATATATGATATATATGATATTAATTATTAATTATTAATTTATATATATATATATATATATATATATGTTTATATTTGTGGGAAAATTTTAAATAATATGTAAAACATATTATATACAAAGTTGCCGTTATTCTAAAGTGTTTCATTTTAATCGGTGTATCATGGCTCCGCGACTTAATAAATTCGCAATTCTTCAACATTTTAATATAAATAGTGATAGCGATTTAGCAGTTTGTAAAATTTGCAAACATTCGTTGAAGAGGGACAGAATATTTAATTTAAGAACACATTTAAAAAATATGCACCAGTTAAATATAAATAAAAATGAAGATTCCAGCTCAAGTAGTAGTGCAATAGTTGTGAAAAAATCATTCCGAAAACAAACAATTAAAATCGAAATGAGCAAAAAAGAGTTATTTCGCTATTCCATTTAATGTCCTTAATTCGGAAAATATGAGAAAGATTATTGACCCTATTTGTCGTGGCTTAGAAGAAAAATTTAATAAAAAATTTGTATTGAAAAGCATCTCCAACGAGCTGTACGAAGAAGTCGAACTGCTAAATCGCTATCACTATTTATATTAAAATGTTGAAGAATTGCGAATTTATTAAGTCGCGGAGCCATGATACACCGATTAAAATGAAACACTTTAGAATAACGGCAACTTTGTATATAATATGTTCTACATATTACTTAAAATTTTCCCACAAATATAAACATATATATATAAATTAATAATTAATAATTAATATCATATATATCATATATATCATATATATCATAAATTTAATAATTAAAAAAACATAAATTTAGGCATAATCTATTTACAGATAAAATAATATTAATTGCATACAAATTGTACGCACACACATTACTTACAATTTTGCACAACTATATTCAATGCACCAACAAAGAAATAATGCGTACACATTCCCTTAAAACAAAAACAAAAAGAAGAAATCCATATACATTTGCTAATAGCAAAACACAAGCAGCTAACGCATAAGCAAGCAAGTTGCATATATTCCAAATGCATAATAGTCAAAAATGTAAAATTGACTATTAGCAAGCAATCAAAACTGGTTGTTTACGTTTTTTGCTGTTGCTAATGCATATTTTTATTTCATTTTCATATGCAATGCGTTAGCAATTAGTCGTTTGACAAAAATCGACTGGTTAATATTTATGCATTAGTCAAAATATGGTTGCTTTTGCTAATTTTCAGCAAGCAATTCAAACCCTGCTTTTGTGTCGATAACACTGAATGCCTGCCAATTAGCCATTTTATTTACTTAAAATTTAGCTCAAGTTCTTCTTTATTGTTTTTCACATGCTCTTTTTAACATAGTTTAGCATCTAGCGTCATGACTAAGTATTTCGCAGTATTCGCATAGGGTATTTCCAGTCCATTTATATTTAATTTGCAGTGGGAGAGCCTTTTTTTTCGTTAAGTCAACATGTACCGATTTTGTATTGTTAAGTTTAAGTAACCATAGTTTCGTCTACTTATTAACATAATTAATGGCCAGCTGAAATGTTTTAGTTGCTTCCAATTTCATTAGAACCAATTGAACCAATTTTATAATTTCTATTATAGGGATATCATTAGTAAACAAAAGAAGGAGTATGGAACCAAGTACGCTTAAGTGGAATGCATTTAAAAGAGAAAAAAACGTGGTCTATGTAATGGCTACTTATAACCTTGTCAACAATATTGTTGTTGTTATATTGTATAAATGATGACGTACATTGTCTTAGGACATTAATTGCTTGCTCTTACTTAATCAGGAGTTCAAGTGGTCGTTCATTTTTCCTAATTGATTACTGTGAAATGTGTGGTAATATGTTGCTGTCGTATTTATTTGATATAGAGCTCGGCCTGATAAAATGATTTCCTTTAGAAATCATTTCTAAATTTGATTTGATTTTAGAAATTAAATCAAATTTAGATTTGATATTGAGCGCGAATTTTCTAATCCACCAAAATTTAATTATTGGAGAAAGAATACATTAATGCATTAAAAAAGAATACATTTTATTATCATACACTCGAAGTGAAACCCGATGAATTGCTTTACAATTTTTTCAAGTAAAATTAGAGTTTTATTGAAATATTTTCGATCTTTAATTGTTACAGTATCTGAGTCCTTTGTTGATATTCATTTGTTTTATTTATTATCCAACTAAAGTGATAAAATTATGGAGAAATTACATTTGAAGAGTAATTACTCTTAAAATGCTCATGTGCAACTGAGTCAATTTATATTGAGGCTTCAACATCAATTAAATATGTTAATTAAATATGCTTTAAAATTAATTAAATAATAAAATAATTATAATAAATAATAAAAAAAGAAAGGAAAAAAGATGGAAGAAGTATGGCAAGCAATTCTAATTAGCTTAATTACCTTAACGATTTCGGTATATTTTCACCTGTCTAGGATGTATATGTATTATTGTGTTAAGTATGTAGACTAATATGTGAACATTTATTAACCGATATAATGACGAACATTTTTATGTAGAAGTAACTAATTATATTTGCTAATTTTATTTTCCTTTAGTGTTATTGTATCATAAATAATTTTGAGTTTTGTTCAAATTTTCCAAATTTGATGATTAGACATTTAAATTTTTTGCCAATGAAAACTAACTCATTCATAAAAACTGAAACATTTATTTACCGATCTCTGTTTTGCTCTATCTTAACTCGGGAAAGAGAGATGTAAAAATTGCAAAATAGGTCAATCAATAAAGTTGAAGTGCTGTGAAATGAGTTCAAAAATGAAACGTCCAGATGTTTTTGTTTGGTTCTAAATTAGTTGAGCAATGACATGGAAAGTATTTAGATGTCTAGAATCGAAAAGAGTAAAAATGTATTAAGAAGAGTACTGTATCACATATATCTGTATATCTGATTTTATATTAACAGTGATGTTTCAGTAGATATTTCAGAATATTATCGAATAAAAATAAGAAGAACAAGTAAGGTTAAACATATATAAAGTTCGGATCATTTAAATTTTTATATATAAAATATATATGAGTCAATAACCAATTTAAATATGTCCAATTATAAAAATAAATTTAAAGATGAAAATTTTAACAATAAAATTAAACGAATTGATTCATTTAAATTTTAAATTTTCGCAAAATATCCACTCTAATTCTTTCATTTTAGTTTCGATCTTCACAATGCCATAATATTGACCAATCAGAATCGTTAATACGTAATTTTCCTTTTAAAAAGAAAGAATAAACAGGTTTGCTGGGTTCGTGTTCTAGTTTGAACGGGATATGGTTATGCGTAACACAGTATGTAAATACCTTAAGCCTATGCCATATCAAGACCATGATGCGTGATATATTATCACATCCTTCTCGAGGTGAACCTGTTTTTTCATGTTGGCTATCATGTCGGCATAACAGAACATCATGGATCTAGAGAGGAAAACTCGATAAAACCCGTAATCTCCGGTGTTATTCGACCCGTGCCGATGAGATGAATAGCACTACGTCAGTGTGTTTTTAAACGGAGACCTCCGGATAACTGGCGCCCTCCGGTTGTAATTTAGCCTTATCCGGGTATTGCGGATCTCTGCCCGGATGGACCTTCCTTTCTCCGCAACTCGTGGGTTTTAATATGAATGAACCAATAAATAATAAAAATAAAAATTCTATAGCGGAGAGCTCGGCTAAACAGAGCTCCAAATCTTCGGACACTAAATGTCCAAATAAGGTACCTACCGCGACTTCCAGTGGTAATAAAAAGGTGCCTTCAAATAATAATAAACAAAACGTATCGATACGCTCCGGACCACTAATTCGGTCAGGCCCTCCAGGGAGGAGGAGTTACAAGGAACGCCGAGCGGCGACTAGACTGCTCGAAAGATACGGCAATATTTCGGTTACATCCGAATCTATGAAGGCCAGGATTGCCTGGGCTAAGCAGGTCCTCGATACCTCGAAGGACAAGCAGGAACCTGCTACGAAGCGACAGCGCTCATTAGATGAGTCAGCTTCAAAACCTGATGCCAAAAAGGCAAAATTTCGTGGCAACGCCACAAATACAAAATCCTTTAGCGACATGCTGAAGGGTTCTTTAATAATGGGAGTCATTGATGAAAATGACCCGGATGGCACAATTACTCCTGCTAAGTGGGACTTAATTGAGCTCAAGCTCCTTGACATTTATGTCGATCTCCTGAAGGACTTTCCTGGAGACGGTCCCACTTGTCGCGATAGTGGATGGCATCAGGGCCATGTGAAACTTATCGCCTGCGCAGATCAGCGTTCTGTTGATCTTTTTCGCAAAGCCATTTCCAGAATTGGTGAGGCATGGCCAGGCGCCAAACTTAAGGTTGTTACTAAGGAGCAAATCCCTAGTCGACCAAGAGCGCGTTCCTGGATACCAGCCCATCAGTCCGATCCTCAGCGGATTCTGGAACTTATTCGGTTAGGAAACCGTCAGTTAAACACATCAACGTGGAAGATTACCAAGCTGGAGGAAGTCAAGGGTAAATATAGGTCGGTCAGTTTTGTGATTGACAAAGCATCCTTGGCCACTTTGGCGAAATCAAATGGTGTCATTAACTACGGTTTCTCAGCCATCACAATGAGGGTATATAAAAAGGACGAGGAGCAATCCTTACCTAATGACACAGGTCCAGCAGCACCGCAAGGCACTGTTGATACCATAATGGAAGCGGGCGATATTGTAACTGCTACCGCAAACTCAGTGGGCCCAGTAGAAATACTGCCTACCACTTCTGATTCAATAAATATGGACGTGACTATGTCCTCTCCAGCTCCTTCAATTACATCTGAAGAGAGTATTGGTACGCGCTATCTTTTTGACGAAGAAGAACTTTTGAACTCTGAAAATGAATCTGAAGAAGATAGCGCGCTTGACGTTACAGTGGTGGACACTACCACATCCAAAACAAATCATGATGCGGGTACTACAAATTAACCTGCACCACTGCAAGGCTGCGTCCGCCAGCTTGTTGCAATGCCTCAGCAACAACGAGGCTGATATGGTCCTGGTGCAAGAGCCATGGGTTTTCAAGGATCTTGTCTGCGGACTCAGGACTAAAAACTTTGACTTAATGTATGCGGTAAACAAGGGTAAGCCTAGATCCTGCATATTAATAAATAAAATATATAACGCTCTCATGCTTTCGCAGTATAGTGACAAAGACCTAACCGCAGTAAGTATTGAGGGACCTTGGGGCCAGATATGGGCGGTATCTGCATATATGGCTCACGATCACGAAGAGTTGCCATCAAGTAACCTAAAACAGCTGACAATTGACGCTAGGAGACTTGGTGCAGATATCATTTTGGGCTGCGACGCAAATGCTCACCATGAAATATGGGGCAGCTCAAACACGAATGAACGTGGTGAGTTACTTTTCGATTTTATTTTTAGTAATAATCTTTTTATATGTAATGACGGTAATAGGCCGACTTTTGTTACCAAAAACAGGCAGGAGGTTTTAGACATTACCGTGACTACTGCCAAAATTCATGGGTCTATAAGAAAATGGAAAGTGTCCACTAGACACTCTTTTTCAGACCATATGATTTTAGAATTTTCTATACACTTAAAGAAATCAAGTACCCCCAGTTTAGAAACTTTCAGAAATGTCAGGAATACAAACTGGACAAAGTACAAATCCTCTATAAATGAGCTGTTGACAAACACTACTCTTTATCCGCCAGAGAATATAAATGATCTGGACGAGCAGGTAGGAGATCTTACCTCAATACTTAATGAAGCTTTTAACCTTGCCTGTCCTTCAACTCGACCTAGTAGGAAGAGTAACCCACCCTGGTGGAATAGAAACTTAGGTCAATTGAGGAAAGAATGCAGGAGACTTTTTAATAGGGCAAAGCTAAATAGAAATGAGAGTGACTGGTCTGAATACAAGATCTCTCTGCAGAATTATAAGAAAGAACTACGTAAGTCTAAGAGGACTAGTTGGCAATCATATTGTCAAGAGATTAGTAGGGACTCTGAAACCTCTAGACTACGCAAAATCCTATCTAAAAATCCATCTGTCCCTGAGTTGCTAAGAAAACCGGATGGGACTTGGTCAAATAACAGTAGGGAGTCACTAGATTTATTACTAGATACCCACTTTCCTGGATCCTTTGCTTCGACGGAATCCTCAGAATGTTTAAACTACGCACCGGTAAACTCTATCAAGTTAAACCTACAAACTCTAAAATGGGCCATTTTTAGCTTTAAGCCATATAAATCACCAGGACCGGATAGTATTCATCCTATTGAGCTGCAAAACTCTTGGGATCAAATACAAAACTGGCTTCTGACCATTTTTAAATATTGTCTCATTTTTAATTATGTTCCAACTCAATGGAGAAAGGTTAGAGTTGTCTTTATTCCTAAGGCGGGTAAAACCTCTCATAGTAACCCTAATGAACTCCGTCCAATTAGTCTTTCATCTTTCATGCTGAAAGCTTTAGAAAGAATTATAGACTTTGAAATAAGGCGCGTTATAGATCCCAATCTTTGGTCACCGACACAACACGCCTACACTAAGGGTAAATCCACAGAGACAGCACTGCATGCCCTCACCTGTACTATTGAAAAAACTCTTAAAGTAAAGGAATTTTGTATAGTGGCTTTCGTAGATATTGAAGGAGCTTTTAACAATATTCTTCCCAGTGCAATAGCTAACGCACTCTCGCGTCTGGGTGTTGAGGATGCGCTTATCAGCTTTATCGGTCAGTTACTAACTGGCAGAATTATTGAAGCACAAATGGGTGTATCAGCAACACACAGACGGGTAAATAGAGGTACCCCCCAAGGGGGCGTACTCTCTCCTCTCCTCTGGAATATAGCGGTGAATGAACTGTTACAAAAACTGGGGAGAGCGGGATGCGGGACAGTTGCATATGCGGATGACATTGCACTAACAGTTACTGGAAAATATGCTACTAGTTTAAGGGATATTTTGCAGTATGGCCTGAATATCCTTAACAATTGGACACTGACATGTGGTCTCGGGGTTAACCCCAGAAAAACAGAAATCGTAGTATTTACCAGAAAACATAGGGTTCCAAATCTTTCTCCACTCTATATTAAAGGTTCTGCGATACAATATATTGAGAAAGCAAAATTTTTAGGCATTGTTTTCGATAGGAAACTGAGCTGGAAAGAAAATGTTTTGGAGCGGGCTAGGAAAGCAAACATTGCTCTGCTCCTTTGTCAAAAAGCTATTGGTAAAAGGTGGGGTTTGCAACCACGTATCGCTCAATGGCTATACACTGCTGTCATTAGACCAATACTTCTGTATGGCATTGCCATATGGTGGACAGCTCTTGATAAATCTTCGTACTGTACGGTACTGAACAGGGTTCAGCGCAGGGCTGAACTCTGTATAAGTGGTGCTCTGTGTACAACACCATCTATAGCATTAGATCTAATGCTCCATTTAATGCCACTTGACATCATCAGTAAGCAGTTGGCAGCATCATCTGCCCTAAGACTTAAGGCTACTTCACAATGGAAGGCTAGTGACTATGGGCATGGCTCGATTCTAAATATTTTCAGTTCTACTCCAAATAACATTGACTACACCTCTCCGATTCTCGACTTTGATAGAAAATTTATTGTTAGATTCCCATCCAGGGAAGCTTGGTTGTCAGGAGGTCCCTCCCTGGGTGAGGGTCTGCAAATTTTTACTGATGGCTCAAAGATTGGGAGCGGCGTAGGCAGTGGAGTTTTCTCAGAGGGGCTGAATATATCCTCCTGCTATAGGCTTCCGGATCACTGTAGTGTTTTTCAGGCAGAAGTAATTGCCATTAAGGAAGCTTTAGCTTGTCTAGAAGTAGGTAATATACTTGAAAGGAATATATATATACTATCGGATAGTCAAGCTGCTTTAAAGTCCTTGAGTTCTGTCCAATTCACATCTAGGACGGTCCTTGACTGCTACACATCTCTAAATGAGATGTCGACGCAGTTCAATATTTCTCTAATCTGGGTCCCCGGTCATAGGGATATTTACGGCAATTGTAAAGCAGACGAGCTAGCCAGACGTGGTGCTTCAGGGAACCACTCGGAACACCTAAACAATCTGGGCATATCGTTGACTTCATGCAAATTGATTTTGAGTTCTTCCTGTGCCGAACTTTTTAACAAAAGATGGGAAGACTCTGCGATATGCAGGCATCTGTATGCAATGTGGCCACAGACCAACAATAGAAAATCGAAGTCTCTCTTAGAGTTATCCCGTAGAGATATCAGTCTTGTAGTAGGTTTACTAACAGGTCATTGTATTCTAGGTAATCATGCTAGGAGACTGAATCTACCGTTCAACCATTTTTGCCGCAGTTGTGGTGAGGATGACGAAAGTGCCTCTCACCTGCTTTCTTCGTGTCCGGCACATGCACGGCGTCGCCTTAAATTTTTGGGGGCTTTCTTTTTTGAGGATCTTGACGAACTTCGAGAACTCCCTCTATGTAGCATTGTAAGCTTTGTTAAGGGTTCTGGATGGTTTTAGCCCATGGGTTTCTAAATAATACGGTATCACAATGGGCCTATGGGCCTAAGTGGATCCCCCTGGGATCGCCGGTTTAACCTAACCTAACCTAAACAGGTTTGCTCTCTAAGCTGGACAGTAGTTTGCCGTTTCTAACTGAAGTGCATTACATTTTAGTTTCAGTTTCAGTTTGATTTTTTTGTACCCAAAATGGCGTTACATTACCAATGCACTTTAGATTACAGAAATCAGAATCTATACACTGTGTGCAGTACCTGTTAAAGACATCTATTAATATGTTGATCCTAATTGTATTAAGTCAGCAGGATAAGTTGACGAGAAAATTATATCCTTTTCCGTAAGCATTTCAAGATTGAAAACTATATAAATTTGTGTAAATTATAAGCTATACATGTGTGTTAAATATTCTTTATACGAGTTTATATATATTTTTCCCAAAAAATGAAGAAATCTACAGAATTCAATCTACAGGATTTACTATTATTCATTTAGACTGATAAATAATCGATACACTGAAATTTATTAATATTTCTTCGGTCGCCAATAATATTTTTAAGCTCTTCTTTATTGCTATGTGTCATATACCAATTGTAACCACATCTCCAACTATATGCGTATCGCTGCAGAAGAGGTGATTGGCTATCACCGTAGGCAAAGAAACAGCTGGTACGTCCAAGAGTGTCGTGACGCACCGTAGTGATGAGAAGGCGTTATGTGCATTCGAGAGAAAAATTCTTCGAAAGATCTATGGTCCCTTATGCGTTGCCGACGAGTATCGAATTAGATGAAACGATGAGCTGTATGAACTATACCCTGACATTGACATGAGCATGAAAATTCACCTACTTCGCTGGCTTGATCATGTCGTGCGAATGGAAGAAAATGTTCCGGCTAAGTTTTTGATTCGGTACCTGCAGGTGGAAAACGCGGTAGAGGACGGCCGCACCTCTTGTGGAAGGACCAGGTGACCAATGATTTGGGGGCGTCAACTAGCAACTACCAACTGGCGACAGCAAGCAACGAATCGGGCTGGTTGCCGGAAGCTACTCCACGCGGTCAAGGACAACTCACGTCTGTAATGGCCAACTCAGTAAGTAAGTATATGATGAACTGAATTTGATTATTTTTATTGTAATCTTTCATTTTATTATTACTGATTAAGAATTTCATGTCTATGAGAAGAAATCCATTTCAAATAGAAAATTTTGAAATCCAAAAAAATATTTATGAAGTGAATCAAGTTGTTTCGGGTATTGTGAAATATATGCAAAGCTCTATAAACATATGTGTGTAGTGCAAGCGTTCTAGAGTAAATATGCAGAAATGTTTTCTAGAAACAATAGTGCTGAATTTAGACAAAAATGAATAGTTAGAGTAATTAAGTTCATTTATGAAGCTGTAGTTTAACCGTTAATTTACGAATAACCAACAAATTTTATAAAATTTTTACAAGGCCGCGGTTCAAAGTTGGCAGGGTTCAATTACGGACAGCTGCAGTTCAAAAATTGTATATAGATAATTAAACTAATAGATGCTTCCTAAGACCACTGATGAAGGGTGTATTTGAAACAGCTGTATGATCAGCGTAGAAATTAATTATGAAAGTTACAGCTATTTCAAACAATTTAATGCTGGTAAAACGGCTCAAAAGATCGCAGTAATGTGTTAGGCGATCTTTTACTTCTTGATTTTAGATTCGAATTTGTTGAAAACTCAAGAAAACTTTAAAATTATGTAAGTTCAGATGTGTACAGAAGGGTTTGCCATGCAAGAAGAAAGGCTGCGGTTGTGTTCATTATCGCATTACGGCAATGTTTGCGGTTGAGTTTTTATGTACATTTTTTATGAAATTTTATTTTTTTATTTTACTTCAGTTCTCGAGGTTCTTTGTTGTACTTGCGACTTCTACTTTAGTGAAATTTTAATAGTTTAAAATAGTTTCCCTCCTTTATTTTGTTTTGATCCTGTTTTCAAGTTATAATGCAGAAACAATGCAGAAACAATGGCGAATTGACAGAGTTATAAGCTGTTTGTGCATACTTAAAATGTGGTGAGGAGGATTGTCCTAATTTCGTACCATTTCCTGTGGTTTTTGCTTGTTTTTGCTCTGAGTTGCTTTCGTTATTTTTTTTTATAATATATAATTTTTATTTATTTCTTTGTAATTCTTAAACGCATAAATGCAAAATTTCACTTTATGTGTACTTTTGAGAGCTTATCGCTTTAGAAAACTCGTTGGCTAAAGTTTTCCAGAATTTCGTTAAAACAAAAAATGTCAACTTGTTGTGTGGCACAAGTACAAACATAAAATTCAATTTCCAACATGTTAAGTGTTCAAACGATAAGAAAGCCTTAAGATACATTGAAGATATTGCAAGCGTTAACTGCATATCTGCAGCTGAAGGAGCGCAGGCAAATCGAATCGAAAGCCACTGCCTCTAGAGTGCAGGCAAGCATGACAGATAAGCAGATCTAGTAGCGTGTACCCAACCAACCAGAAAGGTAACAACGTAGATAAATACATACTGAGACAGCAGACTATGCAGAGGAACCGTATCAAATTGAAAGAACTCAAATGCGAACTAAAAAATGGCACAAAATGTTTAAATATTCATTATCCTTGCAACTGCTTGCATCAATTGAATTTTTCATTTTGTTGTTCTTTCTGCAATCCAACTAAACCCAACTCGACACATCCAGATATTGCATCTCAGCCCTCAACACAGCTCGTGCAGGAACCGTACAGCTCGTGCAGGAACCGTACAGCTCGTTCTAAAAACGTAAAGCAAACAAAGCAGCAAATTATGCCACTGAAGGGATACTTTTCTTTTTACTTTATCCTTGTTAATTTTTTAACTGTTCGTACGTATCGTTTTGTGTAATTTTGGTCCTGGAGTTCTCTTCAATCCTTAACGGCAGGAATTAAAACGTTGCATTAAATTTGTTACAAATTAAGTAGAGGAAATTGGTAAGAAAAAAATTTTAATTGAAATAATGATAACATTTTGAAACTACAAAATTTTAAGTACAAATGTGTTATTCGGGAAGATTGGAAATAAAGTATGAAGAAATGTAATTAAATGAAAGTTTCTTCCTTCATGAAAGCTTGGGAGAGAAGCGGGTATGTATGAGTTAAATTTAAGTTGAAATAATCAACCAAATTCAGTTAAAATTTTCTAATTTTTCATTACTTTAGGAAATTTCTTTTGTGAAGCAATGTTTAAACAGTCTATAATAGAATTTAATAAAATTCCAAAAATTATCTTTCACAGTGACAATCCACTAGTCTAAATATTTGTTTTATGCACATATCAGATATTCAATTAAAAATTTTTTTCTTTAATTATTTTATGTAAAATTAATAATTGATAATTGAAAATGAATTTGATATTAATGTGATTATTCATTTGATATTAATTTACATACTTCACATACTTCATATAAATTTAAAGATTGTTCAGTAACATAAGTTACCGTAAATATTGGACTTGAATGTTAGTCTGTGGTAGTTGACCATAGATAATAGGTTAAACCAATTTGTCAATTTAATTGATGTAGATAGATATGTAAGTAATATTTATATTTTCTTTCTGGAATGAAATCGCCTAGCAGCGGGTACTGCTACCAGAAGAGTTCTATTTTACAAATTTCACTATTGACTACACAAAGCCCTTTAAAGCTTTGTGTATAAGGTTCAGAACTAAATTTAGAGAAAAGCTCTTTATCAGTTCTGGTGACAGAAATTCCATATGAAATAAGTTTCTTCTGTGCGTTGTTGAAGCTGAAGAGCCAGAAAGAATATGCCTAGTAGTCTCCTCATCTTCGATGCATAATCTGCATTCCGAATTCATCATAACAAAATAGATTGTTCGCATTCAACAATATTTTGTTATGAGATTCATGGAGTCCATGAGGGTACTGTCATTAGAATGTAATTATTATCAAATCGTTGGCTATAATATATATATTTAGTTTTAATACGATAAAAGAGTAGTAATGTTCATATACAGAAATATTTTTATTATTTACCACTGTCTTTTTGTTGGAATTTTAGTTTTGTACTTGTAAAATTTAAATTAAAAATTTGAAAATGAAGCTTAAAAAATATAAGAGAAGTACTGAAGCCAAAGTTCAATTTTTCATATACTTTGAGCAGCTAAAAGGATTATAACTATTAAATTGTGTTCACTTACCAAGTCGACTATAAATCTAGTTCGAACACCGGCACCTATCAAACGCGCATCTCATCAATTGCAGCTTGTGGCACTTGCTGCTGTAAGTGCACCCCGCTGCCACTGCTGCTTCCCCCTGCATTTCCACTACCCACTCCAACATTGCCACCATTAGCAGATGTTGTTGTTGTCATGCCAATATTCTCTGACGGCACATGTGCGTGTGCATGTGAATGGTGATGGGAATGTCCTTTAGTTGATGGTGCACTACTGACACCGCTACTGCTACTACCATTTGATGGTGTTTGATCAAGTAGGATGCCAACGCCACTGCAACCTGTTGGAGTTGACGAGGCAGTACGCACTGGAGGACGTGGTGCACGTATGTGATGTTGCATGCCAGAGAGGCCAGTCATAATATTGCCATTTGGCTGATGTTTACTTTGTTGCTGTTGTGGCTGATATTGTTGTTGTTGCTGTTGTGCATCTGAAAGTGAAAAAACAAGACTGTTAATACGAAAAAGCGCTTTAAGTCGATTGCACTTCAATGCAACATATACGATAAACAGCTTGTTAAACCAGCAAAGATCCTGTTGCATATATGTATGCACATTTAAATTCTAAGAATATGCAAATGTTACTATGTATGCAAATTGCATTTGCCATTTAACACTTCTGCGCCACTACACACTACTTGCACTTTATGAGATACTTTTATGTGTTTTAAATGTTGCAATGGTGCAATGTTCTCGTTAGTGACTATTTTGTGTTTTTGAAAAGTATTGTGATACTCTCTCATTTTTTGGAAGATCTGAAGATAATCATACTAAAAACTCCTACCTAATATATTTCTCCTATTACGTAAATAAGTGGAATACCGCCGGTATATGGGTTTCATAAAAAAATTTTAAAGACTGGAAAATAAATGATTTATTCTAAAACCTTTTGAAATTGACCTTTGATGATATATGAAAACTTTAGGAGGTCTTAATTAGAGATTAAGTTGAGACAATAAAAGTCAGTTGATCATTCTTTAAGTGTTTAAGCTATTTTAATAGATTATAAATAATATTATATAAATAATTCTAATAATAACAATTATTATTTTATGCTTCCTATACGCGGGTGGTTTCTTTAGTGAATAAAATTTTCTGTAAATAGAATCAACAAAAAGTTTCTTTGGTGTCGTTTTTTTACTATTGACATAGTCGAGAAAATTTTAGTTTGATAATTAATTTGCGTTGGAGATGAAGGAGATAATTTTTTGAAAATGTATATTTGCGATGTCCGCCAGCGTCTTTAGGTTGTAATCGATTCTCTTAATCTTGTTAGGCATGGGCATTTGAAAAGAAATTGCCTAGTTAGTTCTATATTTTCTTTTTTTTTTCTACAGTTTCTATATATCTGATTAAAAGGCATACCCAAATTTTCAGCTTATGTGTATATTAGCTAGTAACCTGTCAGTAACACCGCAGGGTTCACCACAACAGATACTTTCCAGATACAATAAACGAGATTTCAAAGAAATGTTTAATATATTTTAAGCACAGTCTTTGAACATTAAGTCTAACTGTCTATTTTGAGAATCTCGACGAAGTTTTTTTAATGACACAGTTCTAACAGAAACTAGTCCTCTACGGTCTACTTTAATTAAAGAGTGTAACATGTCAAATGAGATTTTTTAAACGGTTCTCTAATCGTTCATAAACTGGTTTGACTGTACTCGTACATGATTAGCCGAGCCATGCAGACGGTAAGATAGATGGTTTACCCTTAGGGTATGTCATTTAATTTGAAAAAAAAATTGATTAAACTGGGGCCAGTCATAGTTTGCTGCAAACTGGTTCCAAACTAGTCTCAGAGTTGTCTGATTTCTTACATTGATGATTATGTGAAAAACATTTAAGAACTGGAGAAACGTTATAATATTACAATATATGTGTTTTTATTTTAAAATTTAATTAAATAAAATGTTATTTTGGTTAAAATTAAAAATAGCTTGACTTGCGTTGTGAAGTAAATCGTTGCTACTTAACAATCTGATACGTGTTAGTTATTTAATAGTAACTTGATTGGCATTTAATTCTTATTTGGAGCACTTAATTATTAGAATTAAATGTTTGCTTTACATATGTACGTTCAGTGCATGCAAATAACACCAACGAACAAACGAAAGCGATTATTTTTGAAAAGCAAACAAAAGTACGGAAGATGCTGACGCAATGCAAATAAAGCAAAAGCAAACGCAAAAATATAAACAAATGCAATAGCAAATCAAATTGAAATTTACATACATTGGAAATTAGTTCCAAGGCTGCAAAAGTGCAGTAGAATTGAAAATAGTAGCAGAGAGGCAATAACAATCACTGACAATGACGTTGGCAGCAACATTTGCAGCATACCTAGTTAATGAGCCTTATTGCATTGTTGAAGTGCTCGCACTGACAGTAGCAGTAGCAGTAATAGTAGCCTGCTTCCAGTGGTAGCAACAACAACAACAACAACAACAACAACGAAGGCAGAAAGTGATATAGCAGCGCAAATAGCAAATAATGAAAATGTCCATGATTGTTATGTATGATTATTTGTATGTGCATTTGTGTAAAGCCTATTTGTGTGCGTTATATTGGCAGTTGCGTGTGTGTGTGCGTTGTGTGTTTTCTTAATTTTGATCGAGTTCTGTATGTTCGATTGTCGAAGGAAAAGCTATAATAGTACACGAACTCATATTTATGCAATACAAACAGGCGGCTTAAATGTGTTAAAACGGTTGCTAGTGTTGGTGCTGAGATAAACAAGTTGTGCAATTATGTACACATATTCTCCTAAAAATGGGATCGTATTTAATATCTAAAAAGTTTATTAAATGATTTTCATTAAAAAAATTTATAACAATTATAAATTAAATCAAATTTTAGTTGCTTTGTTTTTTTTCCTCTCATTTAAAAAACAAAAACCAAAATACATTTTATCAACATACATATTTCCTGAGCATCTTGGGAGTCACTATAACTGTGGACCACTATAAGTTCGACGTTTGTTATGAACTTTGTTTATGAACCAGCGTAAACACCAAATATAACGTCAGTCTAACTATTCAACAAAGAATTAGAGAGAAATAAAGCTATTTTTCGACAAACAGAAATCACGCTTTACAAGTTTCTTATCAGGCCTGTCCTGCTGTATGCTCCATAAGATTGTACAATTACCATGACTAATGAGAGACATTAGCAGCATTTGCCAGAAAAATTCGGAAGATCGTTGGTCATTTACGTGTTAGCAACGAGAACTGAATTAGATGGGAGGATTAGCTGTATGAGCTACACCGCGATATTAACATAGTTAAGCACATAAAAGTTTAGCGGTTTTGCTGATTTAATCACGTCATAAGAACGGAAGAAAATGTTCCCGTTAGAAATTTTTCGATTTGGTACCCTGTGATGGAAAACGTGGTAGAGAAAGTCTGCAAGGACCAGGTGACCAACGATATGAAGGCACTCGGTACTACCAACTGACGACAGCAGGACACTGTTTAAGCTGACTCAGTGGAGACTACAGGATGCGACCAAGAATGACTTACGCTGAAATGATAAACTAAGTAAGAGAGTAAGAATGGCTGCTTTATATATTTATTGACAAATAAAGTGCATTTGAAATTTAAGTGCGAATATGATTATCTTAAACACTTGTATCGAAATTATAAAGGATGTTTTGACCGGTGATCTAGAACATCCAATCGACATGCCTTAAAATCGCGCAAATTGTTGAATTAAAAAGTGTTTTTTTCACCTTTCGATTTTTTTTTTAAAAATAATATTTTTTTTTTTTTTTATTATTATTATATAAATACAATCTGTAAAAGAACATTCAGTATTATTTATGAACATAAAAATAGAAAAAGTGATTTGTAGACATGTGCGGGACACTCAGTAGTAAACACCGCTAAAGATTAAATTACAACTAATAATAATAATGACTAATAATAGTGAGTAAATAGTTGGCTATAAATATTTAATTTCAGTGAGTTTACAATTACGATTCACGTGTTTAGGGTTCTACTTGGCAAGTCCGACGTAGAAAATCTTCTTAGTCGACGTGGATGATTGATATCTGATAGTAGCTCGTGTGCCAGTGGGTTCGGGTGATTTGATAGTCTTATACGATAGTTTTTGCTGACTGTTTGTATTGTTTCAAACACTGATGGGACGTGGAAATCGCGCAGTAAAGTGCTATTTGGAATATACCATGGATTAGCCGCACATAAACGAAGTATTTTTGATTCAAATCTTTGCAATATCGCTATATTAGATTTTGCAGCTGTTCCCCAGATCGAGACACCGTAGGTCCATATTGGTTTTAAAATAACTTTATATAAAAGTACTTTATTGTTCAGTGATAGTTTTGAATTTTGGCAAAGAAGCCAGTGTATGGAGCGCATTTTTAGACCCAGTTGCTTGCGTTTCGTAAATTTATGATGTTTCCAGGTGAGACGCCGATCAAGATGAACACCTAGATTCTTCACGTGATCGGATTGTGGTAGTACGTTAGTATTTAGTATGAAATAATATATTGTGTTCTTATTAAACTACAGAGAGTAAATATTTTTTGTTCATATACAGCATATACTGCATATATGTATATATACAGTATACACACGTTAATCGTTTAAATATGTGAAATTTCTCAGGAAATTATTAATTTCTGTCTGCTTTGTTAACTATTATTAAAAATTAATAAATTGCAATTTTCGAAACTTGTAAAGGAAGGAATTAATTATCAAACTAGAACAAAATACAATTACAATTTTTTTCAACTATTTTGTTATTTTAATTACTATTAGAGTTTTTAACGTTCTTCAATTAACTTTAAACGGAAGCTCTATTGATTCTTGTTAAAGAAAATAAAAATTTACTAAATTCATTATATTTTCATTGCTTTATGTATTGTGGCCTAAGATAGATAATGCTAAAAATAGTCCCAGTATATCTGCCTTTGGAGTTAGTTTTCGTTCGTATTTGTACATGTGAGTAATTCATTTTTGCTAATTATTCTACAAGCACAAATAGAGTCACAGATACGAGTTCTGATTGCAATGCGTGCTATCTTTATTTGAAAGGCATCAATTTGATATATTCATGAAATAGAGTCGGTATAAGCTTCGCAGCAGCTAGAGTAGTAAAAATTACCGCCAATGTATATCTGATGCGTTGTGTTTGTGGTCAAGCGAAAACCGCTTTAGCAAATTAAAATGCAATCTAACTCAGTTACTGTGAGTGCAGTGCAGAGTGCGGAGTGCGGAGTTTGGAGTATGTATAATGCAGTGCCGCATTACGAGTCGCATTGCAACATGTCCTCTGAGTTATAATGCCATTTCCGACAGCCATGAATCCTAATTATCTTCCGTTGTTAGTATTTCGAAATTGCTTTCGATTTGTTATTTTGCAATTTTTGTAATTTTTGCAATTTTTGCAATGTAGCTATCCAATG